TGGAATTAAAAAGTACTCATGTCATCTATATATGTGTAACATTTCAGCCAGGTACGTTTTCCAAATTAGGCGGAAATGTGTCGTTTTGAATTAAGAAGTATTTATGTCATCTCTATATATGTTACATCTCAGCCAGGCAAATTAAGTGGAAATGTGTCATTTGGAATTAAAAAGCACTATATATATATAACATTTCAGCCAGGCAGGTTTTCAAAATTGGGCAGAAATGTGTCGTTTGGAATTAAAAAGTATTCATATCATCTCTATATATGTAACATTTCGGCCAGGCACGTTTTCGAAATTAGGCGGAAATGTGTCGTTTGGAATTAAAAAGTACTCATGTCATCTATATATGTGTAACATTTCAGCCAGGTACGTTTTCCAAATTAGGCGGAAATATGTCATTTGGAATTGATAGTACTCATGTCATCTCTATATATGTTACTTCTCAGCCAGGCAAATTTAAGCGGAAATGTGTCATTTGGAATTAAAAAGTACTCATCTTATTACTATATATGTAACATTTCAGCCAGGAACATTTTCAAAATTAGGCGAAAATGTGTCGTTTGGAATTAAAAAGTATTCATGTCATCTATATATATGTAACATTTCGGCCAGGCACGTTTTCAAAATTAGGCGGAGATATGTCGTTTTGAATTAAAAAATACTCATATTATCTATATATATGTAACATTTCAGCCAGGCACGTTTTCAAAATTAGGCGGAAATGTGTCGTTTGGAACTAAAAGTACTCATGTCATCTTTATATATGTAACATTTCGGCCAGGCAAGTTTTCATATTGGGCGAAAACGTGTCGTTTGGAATTAAAAAGTATTCATGTCATCTTTATATATGTAACATTTCATCCAGGCAAATTTAAGCGGAAATGTGTCATTTGGACTTAAAAAATATTCATCTCATCACTATATATGTAACATTTCAGCCAGGCAAGGCGAAAATGTGTTGTTTGGAATTAAAAAGCACTCATGTCATCTATATATGTAACATTTCAGCCAGGTACGTTTTCAAAATTAGGCGGAAATGTGTCGTTTTGAATTAAAAAGTATTCATGTCATCTCTATATATGTTTACACCTCAGCTAGGTGAATTTAAGCGGAAATGTGTCATTTTGAATTAAAAAGTATTCATGTCATCTATATTTATGTAACATCTCAGCTAGGCACATTTCAAAATTAGGCAGAGCATTACAGTACAGCTGAAATGTGTTATTTGAACAATGCCGTATTTAAGATGAAATCTATGAAAACATTACAGTATGGCTGAAATGTGTTATCTGAACAATGCCGTATTTAAGATGAAATCTATGAAAACATTACAGTATGGTTGAAATGTGTTATTTTTATGCTAATACAGATCCATCTCAGATGCTGAATGCTGAAATTTGTCAGATTTAGTGCTGGCAGTTTTGGACTACTTCTACCTGTGGAAGCTATCATATCGAATAGGTGGTTACCATCTTTTAAAAGAGGTTCAAAAGTACAATGTTGAAGAAGTGACTGCTGAAGGTTTTTCAAGTAAGGTAAGTCATGGTCTGCTGTGTTGTTGACTCACCTCCAGTAATTGTTGATTTGATGTGACTTTATCAATCCTAACAACTGGTAATAATAAGCAGACTGAGGTAGGTTTGATGTTATGTCAAAGTACAGGTTTATTATATTTACATTATATATCCACTCTTAATTTTCTTTCATGGAACTGTTATTATTGGATCCAAGGATTCAGATTCAATTTCCCCTGCGGGGGTCAAGGAGGTAAATAGTCCTGCAAAATGTTTCTTACCTTTCTTTCATTGGTATGAAATATTGTTGGTAATTAAATATTTTGTAATATAATATTCACAGAAATTATCAGGGTGTAAGAGAGCTTACGAAAATGAAAAAGAAGTTTACGTGATTAGTGATGATGACACTCTTGATTCCTCTGATTCCTCCAATTCCTCTGATTCCTCTGATTCTTTCAAACCCGCTCATTCAGATAATAACAATAAGAAGGCAAGTAACATCATTGCAAGAATTGATGATCTATGTTAATATTAATAAAATATTTATATAAATTTAGCGAAAAATTGATAAAGGAAAAGAACGCGAAGATACAGAAGAAACACGAAGTACCAATGCTGTAAGTTGACATTGGATTGATCCTATGTAATTCATTCTTCTGAAAGATAATATGCATTTCTTATTAGCCTAGGACACCATCCCCAAGGCCAATCAATAAAGCACTTATTATTATCACTCCACAAAAACCGACCCTTTCTGAAAAGTCAGCGCAATACTTACCTAATCATATAACAATAAATACAAACGAGCAACATGTAATTTTAAAAACTGAGGAAAATTCCGGATGTAATTTATAACTGGCTTATCAAAGTACTTTCGGTAAGTTATTACAGGCATGTCTTTTATATAATTCAAGGTATATCATTAAAAACCTCTCGTTTAGACTGATAAGAAAGAATTTAAAAATGCCATTATGGCACAAATTGAATCGGATTGTGAAGATCATCATCATTTTCGTCAAGTATGCGAACTAATTCTTTACGACTTGTGGGTATATTTACTTTACCTATGGATTTTTATGTTTTATTCAGCATAACGAAATTAATATGTAATTTTAAAATTAGTTATCATACGACGCGATTATGTCCATTGGATCGTAATATAAATGAGAGAACCTATACTGTGGAAAGAATTGTTCCTCTCTTTAAGGCATTACAATCGGAATATCCAGGATATAAATTTAGCTGGATTGAGATTGAAGTAAAAGGCATTAAAGAAATGTTGAAGGGTTTTCCGGACTTTGATTTAGTAATGAATAAGGCCGATGGCATAGGTATCAAGGTTTCGTGTAACCAAGCAGTTGTGTTCATTGAAGTATCCGGTAGTCCTAGCAAGCCTGATGAAAAACACATAAAAGATGACGCAGAAAAACTTTTGAAGGAGGCAACATTTGGGTTGGTTTCATTATTAAGAAATTATTTGGATAAACCTGCCAAGATGGCTAAAAACGTGCATATATATATGATACAATGCATCGGTAATGTCTTTATTATATTGCTCTATATCACTTGGTTTTCCTTAAAAACATATTTTTATATGCAACATTTATTTAGGTGATAGGATAACATTAAGTGAATTTTCGCTTAATGGAAAATATCGTTACAAAACCTCACAGATCAAATCCGCCCGATTGCCATTTTCATTTACTGAAATTGCAGACTATTTGGAAATTTTTGAACTGTTATATGCTTTAATAGTGAGTATTTTTCATGTATATGTAAATTTCATCAGGATCTTCAATGTAACGAATGTAACGATAAATTAAATCTTTAGGATGGGCTTGAAAATCAAACAAAATTATTACACGAATTAAGGTTATTACCTAATGATCGTGTGCCTAAAGTTCGAGACTGGCTTTGGGTTCCGGACACAACTGCAAGTTCACTGTCTATTATTTATTGTTTTATTGTTTTTTTCACTGCTATTGATGAAGAGCGACGCGATGAAGTGTAATTCAGCATTAAATTGTTAAAAAAATTTTTTCCCCAAAAGTATCTTGAAAAATGATGCTAAAATGATATGTCGCTCTAAAATTTTTCTACTGACAATTCCGACCTATATAAATGGAATTTAATAGTTATCTGCAATGTGACAGTTATCGTCCTGAGTTTATTTGCAGTACGTTCTCAAAACACCCCTTAAATTCAACTGCGGATTTTGTACTACAAGACACTTGTCCAAGAATAAAATTACAGGGGGTGCAAAATTTGCCTTACGATGAGGCACGCACAACAGTCTGCTTGAGGAGGAGCACTCAGGTGGCGAGACCTGGTTACGCATTGACCAAAGTTAGTCTAACGTATGTATCTGTGATTCCCACTTATGCATACAATAAAGTCTTTCGTGTCTCCACCGGAGCATTAATAATAATATACTGATAATGTTAAGAATACATCAATGGTTATTAATAGTTATCTTCGAAAAATGAATTTATTGTATTTGATCTAGATAAACCCGAAAGATGATCCACTTGCAATTCGGTTAAGGTTTGAATTTGCTAAAAGAGATAGAAGTACGGCAAAAGAAGTAGCATTCTACGTGTATATGAACTTTACTATATCGAAAATTCTCGATATAGTGAAGTTTCGGTATAGTAAATAAAAATCCCATCCCGTCCCGTCGACTTGACTATATCGAGGTTTGACTGTACAGTCGACACTCCCTAAATGCACATGATGCTGTGTTCCCAACCTCGGGACTTAGTACACTCTTTATTCTGCACGTGCAATGGATTTTGGAAATCCCAGTTATATGGAATAATTCCCTAAATGCACACACGTGATCTGATGGTAAAATTTGGTAAGCAAAAATTGTTACTGTCAATTGGCGGGTTTTTGTAACATTTCGATTCTTAGTATTACCAAACGTTAAACTTAATGTTAATACAATGATAATAAAAATAATTACAGAACTTGCTGAGGTTTTTAAAGAAGAGAATAGTAATAGTAATAATGTAGAAGATGCAGATGATAGTACCGAAGTAGCAATTATCAGTGCAAGTGCGGCATCAAAAGCTCTGGAAACAGTGCAAACATTCTTAATTCAACAAGAAAATGCAAATGAGTATTTGAGATATGCAAATATTTTTATTGGAGAAAAGAAGGCTAATACAATGCGACAGTCAAGTATTGATCAATACTTAAATAAATTATAACGTCCGGAAGCAAGAATGTATTATGACGAAAATTACATGAATAATAGTATCACGTGAATGTGTGTTACCACTCTGTAAGTGCACAATTTTGCATTGTATGCACGGTTTTCCAAACTCTCAGTCCCGAGGTGTGCATTTAGGGAGTGTCGACTGTACTAGCAAATAAATGATTCTTAGCACATTTCCAAAACATTGGCGTCTGACAATTGATATAACTTTGAGTCGCCTCCTCTACTACGTGCAATTTCTTTAGCAATATCTAAAGTTAATTTTGCCATAATGGTTTATACTAAAATTTCAAAAGGCCGGCTCTTTAAACGTGATCTACTCCAATATTTTTTATTAGCCCTCTTTCTCATATATCGTATTCGCGATAGTCATAATACTCATTACAAAAAATACAATAAAATAATTTGATTGATTTTTAACTTGTGCGCGTGTTTACATTGGAAATGATGTGCCAAAAAAATTTTATTAGACTACATCGAAATAATTATTGTATAGCAAGATGTTTAGGAAAAAATTTTAACTTTCTCCCGGAGTGGGATCTACCTGCCGAGGAGAATATTAATAAATCTAATGTCAGGCACTAATCTTTTCATTTCTGTTCTTATAATCAATTGCACGAAAAGTAAAAAAAGCACTTTCAAACTCATTTGCCGAATTTCAGTTTGTAATGCGCCAACCAGTTATCATTATTAATATAAACCCCCATTTGTCTGGCTGTTGGAATGACAAAGAATATTTTTACTCATTTTAAAAAAGAGGTTTGTTAATCTTTGTGCGCCTTCGATATTTTTTTTCTTAGGACGGATATTGCTTATTTATATCCAACACCTTTAGGTAAATGGGAGGTAATCATTTCACCGACAAATATTTACCAACATTATTTCGAAGTTATCCTTTTTTGGTCGGTGAAATCATTGTCGATGAAATAATACGGACCCTGGGGAAATACATCCCGAACATGTTCTAACGGATTGCGTAGCGGTAATAATAATCCCTCAACTGATTGCGAGGATACTGTCGTGCGCAGAGGCTCATCCTACGCTTCGGAAGTGTTAAAGGGCAAAAGGAAACATTCATGTGCCAAGCCACAAAAAAAACGTGTGATCGGGCAGTTTGTTAGTCGACCAAATTTAAATAAGACTCACCCAGAGGGAGGGAAGCTGTCAGCCCCTAGACTTGCCTCGAAAGGCGACAACTGTCCCTATTCTTTGGGCTCTTTTGTTTTCGCAAATCTCTCCTACTTCTTCGCAAATCTCTCCTACTTCTTCGCAAATCTCTCCTACTTCTTCGCAAAAAGCGAATGAAATAGAAATGAGATAAATTTTATAATCAGTCTCACAATTTCGGATGATAATAACGCCTCACTGACTGAACAAGAAGTACGATAATTACATTCGCAGAAGAATAAAAGGTCTATAACTTTTATAAATTTATTCAAAGACAATGGATAACTTATCCTAAGATACGACTCCATACAGAAATATATACTGTACATGTGCAACAAAGCACCTTTATTCTCGGAAATATTTTTGTCGTCAGCAACTATTAGATGGGAATATTTTCATTAGCCCACAACTTGAACGTGCGATCGAAGCCGGACGAGACGATGAACTTGTTATCTGTGAATAGAAATTAATCGCTTAGCACTGTATTATTCTCTTCATCCAAACATCATCCAATATCGCACCATCATCAAACTCATACCTCCAGAAATATCGACAGCCATAACTTTTCCATCATGTCCAGCCAAACTCTTTAACAATTGCCAATCATCAGCCGACCAGATATTAACCAATCCATCGTATCCACCAGTGACCAAATATAATCCCGATAATGTAGGCCTCGCTCCGTTATTATTTGATGATGGAGTATATTGAAGAGATTGGGACAGAGAAGATGCATGGAAAAACTTAACATCGGAGCAAAGGGATTTGTGGGCAGGAATAACGTATACGCAGCGTAGAGTGCGGATATCCCAAATTCTGACCGAATTGTCAGCACTTCCTGTTGCTACTTGATAGCTATTAGACGAGCACGTTACATAGAGCCGATGATGTTTAGGTGCAAATTTGACGAGGCAGTACACAGCATAATGAGTTAATAATAGCTTGTTCAAAAACCAATTGACCTTGCAACTCTTGATTAACAGTTAACTATAACATACCCATTTGGTGAGAAATCAACCCCTAGAATATCTTTTACATGCCCTTCCAGTACCATTGTTGATCTCCCTGTACGAAGATCCCAAACGCGTCCTATTGCATCCAGACCCCTATTATACCATGGGAATCGCAACGGGAGTTTAACCCCTATTAAAGAGTAAAACTGCACACTTTATCCATGAATATACTAACCCAGTAGCGACCAAAGCCCCATCATTTTGAAACTTTATTGCATATATTTCTCTCGAATGTCCCTCTTGAAGTAGCAGTTCAGCTGTTGTTTCAACATCCCATAATCGCCACGTGGCATCAAAACTAAGAACAAGTCAACATCCTATTCCAACGGATAGTCTCTTTCCCAGCAATCTTTGGTTTTCTCCCACACTTACCTAGCAGAACCAATAAATCTTCCGCTTGGATGAAAATCAATTTTCGCAATTCTAGCCATATGTCCTTGTAGAGCATCAATTGGCGTGTCTTTATCCAAACTCCAGAGATAGATAAAGCCATCAGCACCACCCGATGCCAAATTCACAACGCTTGGACTCAAAGAGAGCGTACTCTCTGGATTCCATGCAATTCCTCCTACTCTGTCAGTATGGCCTATGTAAAAATAGCAAGACCGTAGTTGATAAGCGTAATGGTGCTTACGATAAAACGTATTGCGGCTGAAGACTGATCGTATTATGAATATAACTTATACGTACCCCGAAAACTGATAATACCCTCACAACTGGGGACTTTCCATAATCGACATAATCCGGACCATGATCCAGTTGCTACAATTTGGTTATTGGGCGAGAAGACACATTGTGAAGTCGGTCGATCATCACCGATCTGAGAACTGAAATTTGTGTAAGACTATATTAATCAAGCGAAGTTAATATAGTAAGATTGTAGATATTCAACAATGATCAAAAAGTTGATATTTCAAATTAAACTTGCCTTGATTCCTTCAAACAACTCCTTACGAACCGACTTTAATTGTGGTAATGGTACTTCATAATCGATTCTCTGATCTCTCAACCTATCGCGTGCTCTGTGATACAAAACGATCAGCGAACTTTCGGTACACACAAATCACCCCATTTAGTCGCGAACCAAAATACCTAGGGAGCGAATATCTAGCAATCCACCGTCGAGCCTCCAACAACTCTTGCGTTCCAAGTGTATAGAATTCTTCCTCTTTCTTGAATCAAAGACGTACAACTGAGTCTAAAAAACCGTCAATAACGTTGAACCGACGGATGTGCTCTTCTTTCAGTGGAGAAGAGAAACATATACAAACCTCCTCCTCCGATTCTGATGGACTGCTTTCATCGTCTTGAATTACTTCAGTTCCTTCCAACTTAGAAAGCAAGTATCTGAGACGATCCCTTCTATCGCCCGGCTAATCGAGAGAATGATTGATAATAGTCGCATAGTATGTTAGCAAAAGAAAAGGAAAAAGACGAAACGACCAAGCATATCGGTCAAATTTAAAAAGTTACCCCTTCACCAAATAGACACTGCGGTTCACCGAGCTCTTTTAATCGAGTTCGTACACGACCATCGTCAGTTGGCACGGCTAACGTTCTTGCGCGTTTTTTACGTTCAAATTCATCCAAAATGGCTTGATGATCATCTCGGACTTTCTTTGATGATTCGGAAAGCTCGTATTCTGTATTTTCAGCTTTTATTGATTTTAACAAAAGAAACAAGAGGCAAAACAAGTACTAAGAATAAGATATGTTACATATCTCGTGCAACAACCTGAAACTTACTCAGATCTTCAAGCGAGACACCACTCGATTCCTACAACAGCAAGCAATTTTCCCGTCAATATCAGTCTAGTTGCAATAGTGACTATAGTTGCAAACAGATCAAACAGCAAATCATTCTCACTTCAGCGGTTAGACTTTTTTTCCTTTGTCTCTCCGTTTCTTCCAGACTACCAAAATGTATTCTGGGTTTAGCCTGTATACCCGAAGAGTCGCTGCTTTTTTTTTGTTTGTCTACTTCCATAGGTGTGGCCATGTTGATCGAGACGAACAGATAGATTCCGTATGCTTACAAAAAACATTTCATGTTGTACAAGAGATCCGCACAGATAATTGCATGCTAATTTCTTAACGTTAAGCACAGTTGATATTTGGTTATTTGATGCAGCTCTAACCACCAACTTTAAATTATTATAATTAGCATCATAGCAGATATTCAGGCAGAAGTAACGACTGTACCGCATCATATTAGATATTAATATTAATGTGTGGAATTAAAATTGTAACTTATTTGCGAAGATGATTCTTTAAAGGAAAGATTTTCACAATTACATGTCGTTTCCTCTGAAAGTTTATGACGTTTCGTTTATCGACTGCCTTTAAGTGTTTATTGATTATCTCTGACAATATTGACAGAGTAAAATTTGCTTTGCTAGATTGATTATGTTGCATTTGGTTCACGTACATTCTGTTAATGTAATATTTTCGTTACACGGTACGAGCTGTAGCTCGACTGTATTTCTTGACGACTACTCGCTTAAAAATACGATATTACAGTATTCATTTTAATGCTAATACGCATTTTAAAAACACGTCCCATTTTGTATATTTGGTTCATAATAATTGAGAATTTTCATGTAACTTATAACTGCCCGATCTTTATTGTGTACCACCGGGGGCCCTTTGTACCCAAACATATCCCACTCGTCAGAAGATAAGCTCATATCATATGATGTAGACACGATCCTGTAGGTGCAAGCATGGTTGGTCGAATAATTTCGTACGATTTTTGTTGATTAATATTTGGACGGAGTTAAATTGTCCATAATAGTTTTACTACTATTATTATTTATCTCAACTATGGATCCGTTAACAGGCTTACCCCGTAGCTCGTCACCTAACAAACCTCACCGAGAAGGTGTTACTACAGAATCTCATGATTGGACTCTGGTGAAAGCCGTAGACCTCGTTGCTGATCAGGATGTTATTGTCATGTAAGTTGTTGTTTTCGAATTTCCCAAGCTAATCAGACATGAGATATCGTCCAAAGTGTATTTGACTATGTTATATTATCAGCGACGGAAATACTCCTATAGAGGAGTCCTGTGAAGTAAGTACGGAATGAAGCTTAATTCGATTCAAATCCTGGTGCTTTGCTAACTAATCGATCCATTACTTAGATCTTGATAAAAAATAATCTTTCGGCAGCCCCAGTGTACGACTCGTCTACAAAATCGTATGTTGGAATGTTCGATTGGGCAGACGTTATGACATACTTGCTGATTGTCTTAAAGAAGAAGGATGCTCAAGAATTAGAAAAGAAAAGCAAGGAAGAATTGAGTGACGAATTCAGGAGTCTCTTGAGACTAGCTTTACAATGTCAACCCATTCCCGTTAAACTAGCTTCAGGTGAGGAAAAGTTGTGCGTCCTGAACGTAAATTGTCGTAGACGTTGCTGCTAAAATTGTAATTGGACTAGGAATGCATACCATGCGTACCATGCGTACCATGCGTACCATGCGTATCATGCGTACCATGCGTATCATGCGTACCATGCGTATCATGCGTACCATGCGTATCATGCGTATCATGCGTACCCGTTTAACTTTGAAAACTCTTTTATCGATTGATTGAACGAATAGATATATCGAACAAGAATCCATTTTATTCTGTGCTTCCCGAAACTTCTCTGTTTCAAGTAACGGAGCTCTTTGGAAGTGGAACCCATCGAGGTAATAAATTATCCGATTCGCTATACTCTTGGCTCTGCTTTAACGCGTTATTATATATCGTTTCTACATACATACTTTTCACTCGTTACCAAATTCTGTAGTGGCTGTTATGGATGCGGATAACCATTTGAAAGGGATACTTACTCAATCAAAGGTCGTGTCATATCTATGCAAAAATGTATGTATACGCCGAACATGTATTGCGACTAGTTGTATTATTCGTAACTGGCACAAGTTCTGTTTTCATTTTCGTTGACAAACATTCCATTGTGATTTAGGCGGGTAAATTTCCAGAGATTGGGAAATTATTCACTAAAAAGGTATGTACTGATATTATAGTTATTGCAAAATTTTGTATGGAAATTATCCTTTTATGTATTTATGTATTCTACTTTGATGATCGCGTACAGGTTGAAGAGCTCGGCATAGGTCAAAGCGACGTAATTTCAGTAAATTCAGATTCATTTGTGCTCGATGCATTGACAATAATGAGTAAGTAACTTTTTGATATTCTCATCCGCCGCATTGAATAAACAACAGACTCACTTGACAAACAATTTGTTTATCAAAGAGGAAAACTCGTTGAGTTCCACGGCTGTGGTCAATAGTGATGGTGTGATCTTTGGGAATATCAGCATGTCTGATATTAAAGTTAGTAATTTGAATATTGGAGCAAGTTGTTCTTATGCAATCCCTATCTGACGTTGAGTCTTTAACATCCGTATAGTACATACTTGGCAGCTATCGTCATTCACTTCTGTGGCGGACATGTCAACAATTCATCAGCCACGTGAGAAGCAGACAAGGGGTAGATGATGGACAGGTACTTGCTAGACGTGTTGGCTATGATTCTTGCTCCTATTATTAACATCGTCCTTAAGCTGCTGTCCCTTCTACACATTCTAGGATCGTTATCCTGTTTTTGACGTCCGTCTGTCAAGCACACTAGGCCTTGTGGTTGCCAAATTAACTGCAACGCGTGCTCATCGTGTCTGGGTAGTAAATGAGGCAATGAATCCAATTGGTGTAGTTAGCATGACAGACGTGATTAGTATATTCGCTCGTCAAGCAGGTGGAACTGCAGAACCATCCAGGAAGAGGCTTAGCGATAGTTTGGGATCAAAAGTCTTTTGAGTAAGGGCGAACTTTGTAGACAAGTGACGAGGATTTTGTGACCATAGGGCGATTTGCTTGTGTGGCGGGCGTCAACAATATGAGAAGTGGCACATTCCGAAGAATCCTCTGGCTCGTATATTTGTAACATATGCAAATTCGCGTTAGCAATATCATTTATCCCTCACAGGGATTATTTAAGCAGCTTTTCACGTAATATATGTGCTCAGGCCAAGAAGCATAGTTTAATGGTTTGGAAAGAATTGGTATAGGTGACGTATTTTGAGACATAGACATGTCCTTCGCAGTATTCGCCTGACGCACGAATAAATACGCACTCCCGTCTTATTTAATTTGACCTATGAGAATAGAAAAATCCCCAAGTGATTAAAACGGGGAAAATTAATTGAAGGGAGTTGTAGGTTGTTTATCTGGTTCACGCTGGATGCAAGGTGCCATTCTAGGGGAAAAGTGGAGTCTCAACCTTACAAGATAACACACATGTCCATATAAATGGTTTTCAGTTTCAGCTTCCTGGTATTAGACAGAAGGTAGCCTTGCACATATTTTGGCAAGTTCAAGAAAATGTGCTACAGTAAGGCATGCCATCTTAACGTTTGGAGGATACTTCTTCTGGTCAAAGCATCAATTCTGGTATACATAAAGAAAGGCCATATTAAATTTGGTTTTCGTCTATTGACTGTTATTCCTATTTTATAGATGAAGCTCGCAACTTGATTACATAAATACTCAGTAGGGTTAACCTCAAGCTTTCTTGAAACAATGTTTGATAATCCTCTATCTAATATGTCAGTGCTTATCCAATATTCCTTCTACCATCTCTGCTATGGCCAATGATGCCGTTAAGCCAGGGCTCTCGATTCCAACAAGATTGATAAACCCATTTAATCCGTGATCACTCTCTTCCTTGATAACAAAGTCGCGGAATCCTTCGCCTGGCCCTTGCAATTTTGGTCTGATGCCAGTGTAACCAGGATATAGTTTTTCTTTTTTGATTTTGGGCAAATAGGACGTAACTGCTTTCCAAACCTGTTCGGTTCTCTCGCCATTATCATCTACGATATCGTAATCATCGGGTGTGTCAACGTACAGAACGTCCGGACCAAATCGTATTGCGCCAGATAGATCTAGAGTCAAGTGGGTCCCTACCCCTACAATATGACGTTCTGGTACGGGGTAAATCAAACGATTTACTTTGATATCGCTCAGTCCACTATAGCAATAATAGTGCCCTTTTGCATAATATAGTCTATATACGTGTCCGGGTAAGATCATGTTTGCAATCTTGTCAGAATACAAGCCAGCTGCATTGATCACATTTTCTGATCTAATTACAGCCTGTGTACCTGGCGATGATACATTGACGAGATAACCCCCATCCTCGTTCTTACTAATACTGCCGACTTTTGCCTTTAGTGCTATATCGCCTCCATTTTCTTTGATCTTTGTGGCAAGATACCCCATTAATGCGTGCGAGTCGATGATTCCTGTAGTCGGTGAGCATAACGCCTCATGCGCGTTAACATCAGGTTCTTGCCTTTCTCTTTCGCTCCGTGAGACAAAGTATGTATCCACGCCCAGTTTATCAGCAGTCTTTTTGAGTGATTCCAAGTATTCCGATTCACTATCGTTCCTTGATACTATCCATTTTCCAACTCGACGAAATGGAATAACCAGAGTCGACTGACAAAGTTCATAGAGAAGATTCTTCCCTCGTATGCAAAGACGAGTTTTCAAAAAATTTTCTGGATAGTATATTCCTGCGTGAATCACTTCACTATTGCGAGAGCTTATCGTTTCGATTGGAAGGAGGAAAGAATTAGTTTGAATTGGATAAATATTCAAGATTAATTTAGCGACGTACCTCGTTTCTTCTCCTAGATTAGCATTTTTCTCGACCAGCAGAGTGGAACGATGGCGGTTTCGAGATAACCTCTCGGCAATAGCGAGACCAATTATGCCTCCTCCAATAATGAGGTTGTCGGTACTAAAATCATACTTTGGGAACGCTGTCAAATAATGTCGACTAATACGATCTATTAAGCGAGTATTTCTCATGCCAAAAATGTAACGTATATTGACAAAAATACTCACGTCAAATATGCCTGGTAGTTAATTTTTTGCAAGACAATCATATCGTCGTGTAGTCATGACAGTCTTCTATATTAAGGTCTCTCTAGACTCTGGCCATCAGAGACACGAATTATCAATGAGCAAATCACATACATTTTGCGCATTTAACTGAGACTGTTGTGCGTTCGGCGATAAAAGTTTCATAGAAAAAGTTACATCCGCGGTAAATTCAATAATCTAGGCAATTTTTGCCAACGCTATTCTTCTTAATTGGGAATAACACTGAATTTGTACAATATTGTGTTTTAATAAAACTGTATCCAAACTGTTCGGCTACCAAGAGATGAGAGACAAGCAGTCAACATTCTCTACATTTTCCCTCACAAGAAAAATCGTCAAACTTATTCCATTATTGTGATTTTCCCAAGATGCAAAAAGTACAATGATATTCATGTGTATTAGAGAATAAGTTTTATGGGGTATATGGAACTATCCACATTGATCCTGCTTGATGATTAACCCACAATACAGCAAAGTTCGTAATTGCTTGCAGACTAGCGTTAGTTAGTGCGAGTACCTATTAAGCAAATAATTACAGTCAACTCTCCAACTGGTCCTTACATCACATACGATGTGGCAAAGCACACGTGCTCGTTATAATCGTACCAAACAGGTCCTTATAAAGAGAGTTGACTGTACGCAGATATTTACTCCAATAAAACGGTTTGTTTGGTTCACGCACGCATTTGCATTTCAACGATGATAATCACGACTTTTGGACCAGACAAGAGACTAATCGCCAAGCAATTGTGGGACCAAGACATTAGGAATGGTGCGGTATTCCCCATCCGTACGGTATTACCCTAACCCTATGTCAAAGGATCGAACAAAGCTCTTTGCTTGGGGAGGAGGGATAAAACAATTTTATGCAAGCATTTTATGTAGACTTGTTAAGAGACGAATGGCACTAATCATTCATTACAGTAACTAATTTAATTTCATACCAAAAATCATTATTGCGCACATGTAAATATGGACAGTAAAAAATAAAGATTTCTTTGGGGGTGCGGGGAAAGCCTCATATTTAACCATGATCTCTTTTTACACTCATTACTGCAGATAATCGCTTCTATCACCATTGTCCGATTACTTTGATTACTGTTGTTGAACAAAAAATCCAGTGATAACATATTCATTAATTGATTCATTATTACTATTACGATCGCTGAGAGTATTTATCCCGCCGCTTTTCCCGTGCATCCGTTATTTATTATTATAGGTTAATTGATTTATGACCAATAATAATCATGTATTTCATTGTTACAGCCGGATTATTCAAGAGTTTGCAGATCACGGCGGGATTGTGTTGATGGGGCGGTTCATTATTAATTATCAATTAATTATGTATAATACACTAGAGCGCGAGTGGTTAGAGGATCAAACAGACAATTCAGCGAGGATATGTATTCTAAACACAGTCCCATAGGCTTAACTGCAAGGTCGAAGGATATGTGCAGTCCCGCTGCAGTTCAATATTAGGGTGTACAGATGTCCTTTTCTTGGCAGAATATGTATGCCGGTCGGTGCTAGAGGTTTTTTTTTCTTGGCAGAATATTCGATATATTAATTTAACAAAAAACTTGTAAACGGGAAAATGTGGATCGATTGGTTTGTTGATTTTTGGTACTTCTACTTTTTATTTTAGAGAGGCAAATTATTATTGTGAGATTACCAGTTTGGCACCAGAACATAACCAATATCCTTATGGGTTCTCTTCCCAGTTACATCACTGCAGCGTAATGGTGGCAAATTTAGTAACAGGCTGTCAATGAAAAGGGTCAAATCACAAAGGGTATGTGATTGCTTGGCATGCATTAAGGATACTTTTACGCCTCAACGTATTTTAAATTCACTGTTTGTTGGCGATCAAATGCTTGATTTGGACTTCCTCTAATCAGCGCCCAATGAACCTGTTCGTGGAGAGTCGTTGATAGCATATAATCAGAGGCATTGCCTGTGTGGACATTTCAATTATATTCACATTCATTATGATATCGTACTCTCCGCAAACCCATAGTATCTTAGAATATAATAAAGCGCGCGGAGTCGCCATACGCACATTTCTATTTTATGCTCTGGTGACATTTGTATTCATTGGAATGTTATGTATAGCATATAACGAATATTCCCTATTAGATTCTAACCCGCAGACGATAAGGCAAAATTGTTCATCAGAATCTTTGACGCTCACCATTAACACTACCACCACCGTTAGCCCTATTAAACAACCTGTACTGTCTGACACATTAGACATTCCGGAAATTTACAAAATCCCGATACCACGTAAAGCACATATGCCTTGTCAATCATACCACGAGATAAATGGCATATCGTTCGATCAGCTATGGGAATACCCACCCGTCTCGGTTTTTATTGGAATATTCACCATCGCAACCAAATTCGAGAGACGACAAGTCATTCGCGATCTATACCGAGCGCAACAGAAAACACTCATAGATGATCGAGTAGAATATCGATTCATTATGGGGAAACCAGACTCGCCCCACCTCCAACTTCGATTGGAAATCGAACAAGAAGCTTATGGCGACTTGTTAATATTAAATATTACCGAAAATCTGAACAAGGGAAAAGGGCATGCATATTGGAAATGGGCCGCAAAGACATTTGCAGGCATTCCTGAAAACAAGTCACTCTTAATCGCAAAAGCAGACGACGACGTGTTTATTCATTTTCAGAATCTCGCATTGAATTTGAGACCGCTAGCGCCCGAGTATCTGTATTATGGACATGAGCGGAAAAAAAAGGGTGGTGGCTGGAGGACCGGACTAATGTTTATTTTATCGATGGATTACATAGAGTGGATTGGTAAAACTGAAATTCCCAAAAGATTTATCAAAGGCCCAGAAGATGTTCGAGTATGGGATTGGCTTAGATGGGGAAATTTGCCAAAGGTGGGTTAATGACGATCTTGGTGTCACACCCGTTGAATGTAATCATTTGTATAGTATTAATACATTTTTTGACTCTCTCAAGACAACATGGGTTAATGAAGATTGTTTGTTGTACCAAGACCCACGCTCCACCGAAAAACGGCATTCATGGTTACATAAAGACTATGCCGGGCCGCAAACCATTGGAATGCATGGTCTAAAGAAATCTTTTATGTGGGATGGTGTGATCGACTTGTTCTTTGGTAAAAATCAGTTTACAGATTAAAACACAACACCCTTTGTAAATATGAATTTGGTAACGCGACGGCGGAAATGGTGTTTACCCGTTATGAGATTTTCGTAGTATAGTCTTAATATATTAGAATAGATTTCTATTCTTGGTTTGAGTAATGAATAAACTTGGTTAGAAATGGTTTGTGGTGGTGGAAATACAGTTCAAATTATTATTGGGGCACTGCGCAAAACCTAATAGTTAACGTTCGTAATTAGTAAATGACAATATGCAAAAAAAGCGGATTTAATGAAATTTGCTTACAGAACTAATCTAATGAAATTTGCTTACAGAATTAATTTAATGAAATCTGCTTACAGAACTCACTTCTTTCTACCGCTTCCGTTGCATTCTTGCATTTACTAACTATGGGTAAATTTCTCCGCAATTCACTTTGTCTAATTTATATTAATAAAGCTAATTATGATATCAATCTCTTGATCATCACCCCTGATCGTCCAAAATGAGCTCTAGTTTAAGTTATCTTCAGACATGCTTGATAACTATCTGCACTTACGAACAGTATCTTGCAGATGGGAGATTGCAACACATAACGACAAACATTGCCTGAAACATCAACACATAACGATAAACATTGCCTGAAACATCAACACATAACGACAAACGTTGCCTGAAACATCATCATAGTATTTCTTGCAGTGAAAATCCACAGTCTTTTCTGTAAGCTATACTGTTGCTAATTCGGTGTGTATCTGACATAAATATTGGCAACACGGAAGTGTCATTTATGATATGAAGATAATGACAATGAACCCTATATCGACTACACCCTCCCCCATTTACATGCAAGAACGTGCGCTCAGATGAGACTCTACGCGAACAAATTAATTTAGTTTTAGCGGGAGGCCTTGAAAGCAAAGAACCATTCAACCATCACATGTAATATTATTGGAGACAATCCGCCTAACTTGTCATTGGAGAGGCACGGTGATTTTAATAAACAACTTACATTCCGAAAAATCGGCCCGTGCTAAAGAGTGTTTGAATGGCATCAAATTCTTAACGGTTCGTAATGGACATTCAATCATTCTTACGATACATACTCGAAAGAATCAAGCCTTGGAAGAAGATTTTTATTCCCAATACCAAACTATACGTTATTGTGCCAATTGCTAAGACTTCTCGAGCAACACACTTTGTTTTGGGGGAGGGGAGGTTCGAACTAGAAATTTAGTGTACTATCATCATCACCATAATAATAATAATGATAATGATAATAATAATGATAATAATAATAATAATAATAATAACTACGTTTGAGCATTGATCAAATGTAGGTCATTTTTGTTGTACGCCCTAAATAAGTAACTTCACTTACAAATCGAATCTGATTGGTCAGAGAACGGTTGACGCTGTAAAGTGCATCAGGAATGCATGTAGTGACATTTGCAACTCCGCGCTTGATGCTAAATTAAACAAATAAACAAGCTTGATATTGAAATAACACTTCGCTCATTTCCAATGCCTAACGTCACAAAGTCTTCCAAGCCCTACGTGACGATACATGGCAGCAACAGACCCAACTTCCTGTCTTCCTGGTTGTTTCTTTGGGTATTCCGTATTTTGCTAATCCCAAAACAAAAATTAAACGACGAAAACTTTGTTTTGCAAGATTCGGAAAAAGCTGTGAATGTAGGAAATAAGCTGGAGACGCAGTGGAATGAGGAGAGAGAACGAGCACGCGAGAATAATAGGTTCGTTTTACTTGTTTGTTTTATGATTGAGAGAAGGCCTCGTATGTCAACCGGAGAGTGATCAGACTTTTAGTCTTTGTGCTGGTTTGTTCGTAGTATCGGCCAAGTTTCTGGTTCGAGTGTAGTGACGGACATGCAAACGGCAGTGATTGTGATTGTGATAACCTTAAAGATAGTGTAACCGAGTTTGTCTTTTCCACCCATATAGTAAACCATCAATACTCAAAACCCTGATAAAGACTTTTGGCGCGTATTACGCACTACTGGGATTGTATAAAGTGTTTTGGATCATATTTATGTACATCGGAACATGGTATCTCGTGGACCAATTATTGCTTCACATAGAGCAAGGAAGGGTTTCGTTGTTATCCGGACATATTTATGCACTTGGTTTCTTTCTCTGTGCACTTTTCTCCAGTATATGCATCAACCAGTTGATTGCAGAATGTACAAGAGTCGGTGTGCAGGTAAAAAAAATGAATCGGGAATGAAAAATCGAGTGAATGGGTAGTTTGTGAATATTGGGCTAGAAGACTATGAACCAAATAAGAAATAGCGCTACTGCTTGTGGAGTTGGTCATAAAAGTAGGAAATATTCAAAGTTTTACAAATATCCTATTTTCCTATAGGTTCGCGCTGCTTTGATGGTCATGATCTATCGTAAATCTTTGCGCCTTGGTTCTGTTCCTGGTGGTATAAGCGATGTTGGTGTGTTATCATGTCCTCTTGTGTTTTTCTATTGTTACGTCCACTTGAACATTGTCGATTTGAATTGTAATCGAACATGTCTAATACAATTATTACTTTTGCATTAGTCAACTTGTTATCTAATGACTGTAACAGGTAAAACCTTCATTTATTGTCTATTTCTATTTCTATTTTTATTGAGACCCACTTGTACTAAGCATTGGCGATGACAAAAAAATTTGTGTAGAATTGCAGAGGCTTTTGTCAATTTTCACTTTTTGTGGGGTTCAGTTTTGGAAATGTTTGGTAAGTCATGGTAATAAGAGTGCAAACGTCGATGTCCTTCCTACAATGTTTGTATACGTACTAACAGTAACCAATTGTATTTGCAGTTGTTATTGCTCTATCATGGGTGGAATTAGGTTTGGCTGCTCTACCAGGTACAGTAATATTATCCCTGTTGTCGTGATAAGCTGATAAGAATCTCACATTATTCAATCCCTGCAATACAGCAACTGTGATAATAATTGTGATCTTCCCACTTCAATCGGTGTTCGGACGTCTCATTTCCAGCATTACAAATTCAATCACTAACATTACATCATCTCGAATCCACCTCATGTCCGAGATCTTAACCGCCATTAAGCTCATAAAATTCTATGCATGGGAATCCTACTTCTCTGAGAAAGTAATCAGCGTCCGTGAGAAAGAACTTTCTCAACTACTTCACGTTCTTGTGGTGAAAGTATGGACGTATTGTATCATTTTTGATGCACCAGTACTAATGATGCTGGGTGCTATTTGTGTAAAGGCGTTTCATGGACATGATGAAATAAAATCAAGTGTTATTTTCACGTCACTGTCTTTATTCAATACACTCAGGTGGGTATTTACTTTTGACACGTCCCATTTTGTGTTACTCGAATGCATTACAGTATTTGTGTTTGTGTAGCTGCAACAACAAATATTCTTTATAATATTACTATATATTCATCGTTTGATTCGCTCATTAAGGAAAAATAGAAGACATGACTACCAACAGAGAATCTAACATGCATGACATGCTCACTTTACATTCACAGATATCCACTCATCATGCTTCCAATTGCAATCAGAACAACACTCGGTGCGTTTGATTCATTTGATCGTCTGGACAAATTCTTCCAAGAACAAGAGTTAGAATCAAACACGTTAGATGAAAATGGTATAATAGACGATGATCCTACTCTCCGCATTGCCATTGAAAATGCCGACTTTGTTTATGGTGACAACGTCAAACCTACTCTTCGTTTCCTCAATATGAGAGTAAAACAAGGACAATTACTTGCTATAGTTGGAGATGTAGGAGCAGGAAAGTCATCTATACTTGCTGCTATCATGGGACAAATACACAGGAGCGCTGGTACTAGAAGGATAAATGGATCGATTGCTTATGTACCTCATGATTCATGGTTGCTTAATACCACCCTGAGGGACAATATTTTGTTTGGGAAACCATACAATGCGAAAAAATACGAAGAAGCTCTGTACGTGTGTGCATTGAATAAGGATCTGCAGCTATTGCGAGAAGGTGACTTGACCGAAATTGGCGATCGAGGAGCTAATTTGAGTCTGGGTCAGAGACTGAGAGTTAGTCTAGCACGTGCGGTATACTGTAATGCAGATATTGTGCTGTTGGATGATCCATTGAGGTATGTAATTACTGATTACGTTGGAAACAGACTATTATATGTTGGTGTATTGGTTTTGACAAGGAATTGCTCGTTTCTAGTGTAATGGAGGCGAGTGTAGGAAAGCACATATTCTCCGAATGCATTGAAAAAATTCTCAAGGTAAGACAAATATGAACAGAAAACCCACCAGTTATTTTTAACTCTCGAGATGCTCGCAGTGAATTAACAAACACTATGTTATGCAGGACAAAGCCGTCGTATTCGTAACAAATCAACTACAGGTGTGTATATATCAACTACGGCATATAATTTACTGTCTATATTCGTGCAACACTATAAACGTTACATTGAATTGCATGCTTTACTAGTACTTGTCAAAATGTCATTACATAATGGTAATAAAAGACGGCACCAGTGTCAAAGAAGGGACATACGAAGAACTGATCAAGGATGTGGATCTTGCCTCGTTAATCGGCGAATACGTGGAGATAGAGGACCCTGATCAAGTCGACGAGCTCTTGAGCAACGTCCAATTAGAAACCGGCTATGCAGAAGAAACTAGTGAAGAGCTTGAAACCGTTGTCATTGTAGATGCTGAAAATCCACCAACGGAACGGAATCTTAGTTATGCACCCACGTCCCCAACAGATGAGCCAAGAGTATCAAAAACCATTGATAGAGAAGGTCAGACTTTACAGGGTCTAAGCATAAACGAGCGCACATTATCAACGGCGATTGAACGCCACAATACCGTCATTCTTAGCGGCGCAGGAAAAGCCAGGATAATGGGAGGTCAGGTTAATAGAGAATTGAATGCTACGGCCATGGCAGTCGAAAGAAATCAACTTACTATACATAGCGTGACTGGGCGGGACGGGATTGCCCCGATGTATGATAGTGGACTGAAATCGAGAAGAGGACAAGATGGACACGTTGGCTTTAAAGTTTATTTGGACTATATGAGATATTCGACAGGACTGGGAATGTCGATAGCAGTTATTTTATTATTCTTTTTAATTCATGCTCTGCGAATTTTTGGTGGTACGTGTCAACATAAACTTTCGATCTTTGACTCATCACTAGACAATCGAACGCTGCTGAAAATACGTATGTTGATAATAACACGCAGCTCTCTTATTTACAATTAGATTGGTGGCTTTATAAATTTGTCGATGGCACTGACGTTATGTTGGCAGTTGCTATATACGCCACATCAGTTGTAAGTTTAATGAGAATATTGCTCGACTATGTCTTGGTTGCGTTAGTATGCTAACTTTTTACTAACCTCTTATTTATCAGGTCGTCTTTGGTATTGGCGTCTTTATAAGAGGTGTCTGGTTCGCTGTATTAGTAGGCAATAAAAGTATGGATTTGCATGACAGTACGTTCGGGGTAAGTTTGATTTTGGGTTGATCTGTTATCGTCTTGTCGTAAGCATATTACTAATTGCGTATTATTGCGTTTAGCGTATCTTACTTGCTCCAATGTCATTTTTTGACATTACACCGCTTGCGAGGATATTAAATGTCTTTGCCAAACATCAATATCTTGTCGACGACGTATTGACGGACAATCTGTTCCAAGTAGGTGTCTTGTAGGTTATACATTGAATAAGGTGATCGGTTTGTCTGATGGTCAATGTTCTTTTAACATCCCCTATAGTTCCTGTCATTTCTTCCACTTGTTCTTGGAGTGACGATATTCGTAATGGTACTCATTCCGTGGATGTCGATAGTTGCGGTTATATTGGCTTTCTTTGTTTGGGTTTTGATCTACTGTTCAAGCGAGGTAGAGGAGCGATTCAAACAACTTGAAGGTAAGGCTACTAGCAAATTGGATTTAGTCATTCTTTATATAACTTAACGATAACTTAACCCATATATGCCCATTCTCTACTTTAGTCAATAGTAAAGCACCTATATTTGCTCATTTATCCGCTTCACTTGACGGTCTCGCCAGTATTCGAGTTTATAATGTACAATCGAGATTCGATGAGCAAAACATGAACAGGATTGATGCTAATAACAAGGCTTTGTTTGCAATGATGCAAGGTATAATTTGCATTCGAGATTGCTTTCCAGGGATGGGATTAATTACTGACGTTATATAATCAACTGTTATATCTATTAGTCAAGGCATGGCTCTCTTTGTATATAGACGTTCTTACGTCGCTTTTCATATACGCAACTGCACTCTTTATTGTCATATACCCTGACGAGGAGTTTAGCACGCCATCTATTTCTGGTCTGGCTATAACGAATGCATTCCAATTGCTAGTATTCACCCAATGGATGATTCGGAGCGGACGTGATGTTGCCGTGACGATGGATAGCACTAAACAATTACTCTATTACAGACAAAACATTCCTGCCGAGGTATTATTTGGTTTGATATAGCGCTTAATGTTAGACAAGAGATTGTTCCGACACTAAATTTATTTATGCCTTTGTACTAGCGCCCTGCCATCATCGACAGTAATCGTCCTCCACCAAACTGGGGTGAACGGGGAGAGGTATGTACAAAGAGAATTTACTATTTGAACATTATATGGTAACTGACACTCTGCTTTTTGTTATTAGATTGAGTTTAAACACGTTATATTGTCTTATAATCAATATGGCGTGGCAGTGCTGAAAAATATATCGTTCCATATCAGACCACAAGAGAAAATTGGAATAGTAGGCAAAACTGGATCAGGTAGACTATCAGATGTGAGATATTGTTATTGCTGGTGTATTATTGCGTCTCATTCATTTCTTTTTGACTTTTAATAGGCAAATCAACACTGCTTGTCAGTCTCCTTCGGATAGTAGAGCTAACCGAAGGTCAAATATTGATAGATGATGCTGATATTAGTGTAGTAGGCCTAAAAGATCTTCGTAGCAAAATTGCCATAATTCCGCAGGGTAAGTCAGGACATGCTTTTTCTCCCTTCTATCTTGGCGAATCGACTAACTTTATAATGCTCACAAAACAGAACCAGTGATATTTGTTGGCACCATTCGCTCCAACCTCGATCCGTTCAATACCTGCACAGATGAGGAAATATGGGAAGCACTCAAAGCAGTACATCTGGATGATAAAGTTAATACCATGTCAGATAAATTAAGGACTACAGTCTTGGAAAATGGAAAAAACTTTTCTCTTGGTCAACGACAGCTATTCTGTATTGCACGCGCATTATTAAAGAAGACAAATATTCTTATATTGGATGAGGCAACAAGTGCAGTTGATGCTCAGACGGATGTCCTAATACAAGAGACTATAAAAAAGAATTTTGCAGATCACACTGTCCTGACAATAGCACATCGATTGGTAAGGATGGGTTAACGACAATACATATGGGCAGTAGAGTGCGAGATTGAAATACTTATGCTCTTATTTTTCATACAGAATACTATTATGGAAGCAGACAGAATACTCTGTCTTAACGAAGGCCGAGTAGTTGAATTCGATACCCCGCTTCGCCTACTCGACAAGCCCGACGGCTTCTTCCACCAACTAGCGACCCGTAGTGGGCCGGAAGTTACAGAACGGCTACGCAAAATTGCTCTTAACCATCTCTCGGATAATCATTCCTCTTCTTCTCGAGCAGATTCAATGCCGCTCCTCCCAATCGGTCTAAATGATTTGTTTCATCAAATGCAGTAATGAATAATTTGTACGTTTTGTATAATTAGTGATTGTACACATTTTTAAACATTATTATTTTTTTTGGTTAGTAGGCAGTTTGTTTATTTTAAATTACCCGACGATTTATATATGCTCGCTGTACTTTCTGTAGTCATTTTGTGCCAAGGCTGCCGCGTACATGCAATATTTGTCATCACTCCCCTCGATTTGTAATATTTTCCTTCTCAGCCGCATATAAAGATTATTATATGACAAAAAAAATGTAATGGTGCTGCGAAGAAAAGAAAGGGCAGCAGTCTCGCGACTGCTGGGAAGAATGGCCGTATTTATATATATTATTAATACTAATTAATATAGGCATAGTCAGAAGCGTGCCTTTAGAATTTTCTCTTTTATTCGTAAACGTCTTGTAAAATATATGGTTTACACTTCAAGCGTCTTGACTCTCAACCGCAAAATGGCTTCAAATTATAGTCAATATCTCATTTGTAATTATAATTGCCAGTGCAGTATCCGATCCCATGATTTTCTAATAAATGCTTTTTCATAACTAAGGGTTGATTGATGAAGTCCACGTGACTCCCTAAACATATTTTAAAAACTTGTTCATAGGCAAGGAATATTTAGACTTTAAACGACAATCTGGTGGTGCATGAAAGAGGGTCAAGTAATACAGGCAATTCAGCCATTTTCTGGTGCAGCAATACGCTGCATCTTTGATCCTCTTCGGTCTCACCCCCACCAACCGACCTAGGAAAAAAGCCACCCTTTTTCTTAGCTAGTGAATAGACTGACCATTACTTGCGCGAATTTTAAACTTGTATTTTTTTGCATCGGGAATCGAACTGACAACGTAAGCCTTTGTTGTGTGCGTCGTAAATGAGATGTACGTTTTGCTTGCAAGGTTGCGTGGATTCTCGTGGATTCTCGTGGATTCCGAAACTTTATGCTTTCAAAAGTATGTTTTTATCGTTAGTTTCGATTTTTATTTGTCATAAAATTCTATGTGAATGCCAATCATAAATAAAATCAACACCGTTTTACTTGCATTTAATACAGTCCTGGAAAAAAAACAATAACGGCAATCAGCAACCGTGAATCTTGCAAAGCAAGTAGTCACTTTTTTTTTTGAAGAATTCAGTTGCGTTTTAAAAAAGTTGATGAAAATATTAATTGTTCATGTTTCAATGCTGTAAAATTTCGGTGTGCGAACAAGTTATAACCCGATGCAAAAATATATGCCATATTTCAAATATATTTTTTTACTATGAAAATTAATCTTTTAGTACTAATTAAACCTATTTACAATAATAATATTTTGAAAGCCATTGTTACTCGAGAAGTTGTCTGGAAAACTCTCATCAGAAAGCACGTGAGGGACCCATTTGCACATACTTTCTTGACAGAAAGTTCATTATGCAAGATGGTTTCAATACTTCCAGTTGAGATGGGTTGGGAATGACTTTCTGAATCCTCTCAATGCTGATATGGGGGTTCATTACTTGTAAGGTCTTTAATGATATTAACGTTCAAAGGTGTAACAGCTTCGCGGGGATATCCAGAACGGGGTGCATCTTCGATGCTTGATTGGCCGGCCTCGAATGCTTCAATCCAGCGGTAAATAGTACGTTTGGATAACGCCCCAGTCCCTTCAGCTATGACTAACTCTGTGAATGTCGTCCGTTTTTCCAGCACACCCAGATATAGTATTGTTGATTTTCGCGAGTAAAATTTTCTATTGTTTTCAGTAGACAAATTCTTTCTCAAACTTTAATTAATATAATTATTTACGGAGCTGCGATGATCAGTGGTTGCTGAGATATTTACACTGTGTCAAAATTGTTTGAACCACCCACGTACACCACCCACGTACACCACACACGTAATAACAAAATTCAAACCGACAATCTCCATTTATTATTTTTCCGGGGGAATTATTGGAGTATTTACTGGTATCGTTCTCGGCCTTTTGCTAATGGCATAATTTGTAATGGTCGACTTAATTAAGACTAGAATGTCTAGAAGAGTTACAAACAATGACAAACTTGTCAGCGAACAAAATATATTCGTTGAATATTGAAACATTGTGGAAGGATCTGAGACAATTATACAAAAACCAAAGTTTTTCATATACCAAGATTATTGGCGGAGGAAAGGCCGTTCCTGCTTACGATAAGAAATTTCTACATGAAAAAAGCATTGGGTTGACAAAGAAAAAAAAATTAATAATAGCGATAATCGTATTATTAATGATGGTTACAATTAAAAAGATAATCTTGCACCAGAGTGACCAAAGAAAAGTTATACTCACTTCCTCCCGTGCAATCGCATTGCTATAATGAAAATAATAGAGTTATGAAAAATCCAATAACGGTTACGTTATTTTGATGCCTGCATTAAAGCAGTAAAATGTAACCAAAGTAGATCAGTATTGAGCAGATAAAATAATATAATGTGACAGACAATTGTTATTGTGGCGTTCAACAGTTTTAAACCCTGAAATCTTTCGCAAAATGTCTCATATACCATTGTTGTTGGAAGAAAGTTCATGCACATTGAGCAAAAGATTTTCCCAGACTATTAGCACACACACACACTCTCTCTCTCTCTCCATTCATGTCTAATGCAATAAACAAATATTTGAGACCGTGATATGTTGCTATAATCGTGTTTGACCATCGCAAAAACGGTAAGGCCAGTACGTTTCAACCGATATATGAGTGGTAAGCCAATAAAGTCGTACAAATATCGAAATAATTGTCCTTTATAAATACTCGTATGTTTACGTTATTAAGAGTTTTATTATTGCTGACTCTTGGCCGCTAAGCTAACTTCATAATTTTCTCGTACAGCGCTATGTTCAATTTGTCTGGATTTGTTGTAGCGCTGTGTGTCATTGTTTGTTTTCTTGTATCCAAACCTTATGTATTATATTAATCCTTGCCCACGTAAACCCCCCCGTTATTTAGAGTTTGGGGTGGGGGGTAAAGACAAGCGATAACGTGTCGAGTTGACAGTCGAATTAGCCCCATTCCTCGACCGCCTGTTCGTATACAACAGTCGCCATTGCTGCATTTCCAAAAAAAATCTCATGTGAACAGATGGCGATATCTCGGCCGAAAGCCAATTGGTCATGTTCGATCGCTTGTACGATGCTCGGTGTGTGTTCGTATTAGTATCGCATTATATCAGATCCGCCGAGTAACGGTACAATCAGCTCGAATGCTGTTAAACGTGTATCCATATAATCCAAATATTGCGAATGGTCTTTTCTATAGTATGACAAGTAGATGTGTTCATTCACTAGGAATTTCTGTTTTCAGTTTTTCGGCATTCAACATTCGTGTAGCTCGAGCGTTGATTGGTGTTGATTTTACTAACCATATTTAGGCTGTGACAACCATTGTGCTACCATGACAATAATCTGGACAATAAATCATGGGGTGACTTTTTAGTCTTTAGTATTATAAGTTATAAATAGTGTTGACCGTTGAGTCATGTTACATAATTTCTATACATAGTAACACATCAGTTTTCAGTTGGCCTCCGTCATTTTTCGTTCGTCTTGAAACTGCTAAATTCAAACGACATGATATAAACAGACAATAAAACAAGCCAACAGTATCAGTCTCAGTACTACTAGTATTGGTTATAGTGTGCAAATCTTGCTAACAATCCGTCTGTCCGCTCTTTCCTTTTTCACTCATTCGTGGCCATACATATTTTCCTGCTATGATTATCCATGCCTCCTTGTCTTTGCTGACGTTGTTTAAGTCTCTCTTTATGTTTTGCTTGGTTGCTTGCTGGTTTGCTCTTGTCTACCATTCCTTGTCTGATTGACGCTAGTGTGTGCTATTTCTGCCCAAACGAGGTAAACAATTCAATTCTCATATCAATGTGTGGCTCAGAACGTAACAGTCGGTATTACGTAATAAGAATTAGGGCCGTCTTGTCGAACATGTCGTACATAAACTTTAGAGCCAGTTTGCTTTTCGAAAAAAAAAAAAAAAAATTATGCGCAAATTTTACCTCCCCAAACCTCCTTAATTATAATATTAACCCTAATACAATATCTTTTGCTGGGCGTGTGAGTGGTAGACTTTGGCTTTTTTCTGTTCCTTTATGTAATTATTAATTTTGTAACCGGGGCCGCACTGAATTTTCGTGTGTTACGTGGCTGAATACGGTCGATTTCACATATTTTATAAGTGTGTAACGTGTTATGTACCATTGCACTACAGCTTTGTAACCGTAATGTCAGATAGATAATGTAAACGGGGGGGATAAAGACGTGGACAAGGAGAGGTGTTTTCTCTTCTCCATAGGTTGTAATCAACCCAGTGGAAGAACATAATCTATTTTAATGTTTCTTTTATTTAATATTCTGTATTTACGTAATTCATGCATTTGCACCCCATGCGCATTGACGGTATTACTTGTCTTTCGAATAGATGTAACATCATTCACGGGCGAAACCCCTTGACTCGCCACACCTGAAACCGAACACAATAATGTCGATAACATTGTTATTGTAATTATAGCACACATCCATTATGTCTACTTTGTTACATTTATTTATATTGTGTCTTGCAGTATGACTATTATTGAATGTCCTTGTTACTCTATGCAATTTCCAGCATATTTAATTTCCACGCATCTGCAATTTCGATTCAACTCCTATTCAATCGCTTGTTAAAACTTGACATTTCGAGAAACGCACTTCTTCGTTCTTCATTCTTCCCACTCCATTTCTCGTCCTTCACTTTAACTTCTCCTCACCCACCCGTTACGGTTTCCACATACTTTCCTTATTCCGCTGTACAAAATATCAAAACACTCTCACACCGCTTCGGAAGCTGGCTCCTTCTTATTATTTATTGTACTTCTACATATACAAAAATAAAACATACCTCTTTTCGCTTTTTTTGTAAACATAGACTACTATCCCAGTAAACTGTATAGCAGAAACTTTATTATTAGTCTCTAATTTTAATAGTCATATCGAACCTAATATTAACAACCACCGAAAACCATGGGTGCTGGATGTTGTAAAGAGGAGGAAATCGATTTTGATGCTGAGGGTAAGTGCTCTCTACAATAATTCAACGTGTTGCCACAATAGCTGTAAACATACAGAAAGAAGCCTCGTGGGACAGTACATGGTGATGGTCGAGGGATTACCCTCTACTTGGACACTCTCAGAGCAATGTGGATAGTGGTGGGGAAGCAACATAACTTGCGAGAACTCGGAAGGGAAAGGGTTGTGCGAGAGCAAAAGACTTTTGTCGAGCGAATAACTGGAAGGCTTGTTTATGGGTGGGGCGACTATTAAAGAGAAGAGAAAAGATATATATGAAAAAGGAATTCTGCCAGCTGTATGCGTGGATAATCTTTTAATTGTCCTCTCTCTTGTTAGTCTAAGCAGACAATCTGCTTATACAAGTTGTATGCTCAAGGACATATATGTTCTCACGCATAATCCCCCTATCTCGTCTCTAGTTCCCCAGCCGTAAATAGTTTTTTGTCTCTCAATCCACCACTCCCATCTCAAAAGGTTTAATGCAATGTTGCTCATACCCCTAACTAATATACACATATTTATCAAATGACTCTAATTGTAGAGTCTTATTCTGTGAACTTGAAATACTTACCATTCTACCTGTTTTGGAATGTTTATAGTGGAATTGTCACACTTTCATTTACTAAGATCCGTAGGGAAAGGAGCTTTCGGCAAGGTAACCCTTTATGCAAGCCTTCATTCTATATTCTTCAAACAAGACGTCTTTAATAACACCCATTAAAACTATCTATTTAAAGGTCCGCGTTGTCCAACACAAAAAGTCTAAAACGCTCTACGCTTTAAAATATATCAACAAAGCAAAATGCATAAAAATGCGAGCCGTCGAAAACATTATTCAAGAACGACGACTGTTGGAAGAAATAGAGTTTCCCCTCGTGTGTAATCTTCGCTATGCATTCCAAGACGATGAGAATTTGTTCATGATTCTGGACTTGATGCTTGGCGGAGATTTGAGATTCCATTTGGAGAGGCAGGGGCCGATGAACGAAGAAGTGGTGAAATTTTACGTCGCGGAAGTGGCGCTAGGATTAGATTATTTGCACTCGAGAAAAATTATTCACAGGTAAATAACGAGTGTTAACTGGCTGGCCCTCATGCAATTATCAAGTGTTTCGTTATATCCATACAATCCATACAATCCATACAACCGGCTAACTGATTGCTTTTTTTCTCCCCGGCATCGCCTCTTTAACAGAGATTTAAAACCTGATAATGTCCTTCTCGACGAGAAAGGTCATGCTCACTTGACAGATTTTAACATTGCTGTGCATTTCAATGAAAAAAAACCTTTGACGTCTGTTGCTGGATCAATGGCATACATGGCTCCCGAAGTTTTAATGAAAAAGGGATATTTGGGTTGGGTGGTT